AACAGCCTGCTCCTGTTAATTGTATCACTTGATTATCTTTAGGTATAATTCTGTGAGGATTTATAGGTTCAAACGAGCCCACCAGCCCCTCTTGCCCACATCGGGAATGGGCTTTCTCAAGCACAGTGCCCCTCCTGCTTGGGTGGGCCACGCTGCGGGTCCTCGCCTGGTGCCGGTCTGCTGCAGGGCACCGAGTCCCCGAGGCACGGCCTGTGAGACACGACAGGAATATCTCTGCTCTTGACTGAGGGCCTCCTTTTCCTCCTGCAGTATAATAATGCCGGTGACTCTGTTAGAAGCATGCTTTGAATCTGTCCGTGTCCTTGCCATCCAGAAGCGGAGCCTGGAAGCTTCCGAATTTCTCCAGAATGTGGTTTACATTCACCTTCGACAGGTGAGTGTATGTCCTTTTACAAGTGGAGGAATTACTGCCGTTTTCCTGGAACTTACTCACCACTAGTACATCTGATTTTCCTGTGCTAGGATACAGTATGTCCTGTTAAAAATTCTGGAGTCACATCTTGAAACCCTGATGAAGAGGATTATTTATTTTCTTTCTTTATATGATAGTATTTTACTTTCAAAATTCAGAATATTCTGTTCTTTGAGTAATTTTTTCGGGGGTTGGAGAAACAACTTTGCTCATACCATCTTTGTGACCTGTTGCTATATGCCTCTCACATGTCTTCTCACTTGTGAGGCGGCTCCATTTGTGACCCAGTCCGGGTTGTTCATGTTATAAAACATAAAGTCTGTAATAGTACAGTCCGTTTTACTCCGAAGACATTCCACAAATACTACTTAAATCTGGGTGTGGTTTTAAGAATAGAGAATCATTAGAACATGTACTTGTAGGTTGCTAGTGCAATATCCCCAAATCAATAGTCTAGCTCAACATCTAAAATCTTTCTAATCTTCCTTGGATTTCTATTGATAAGTGAAGCAGTTTGCTAAGAACCCAAGACGAGGTTTAGAATACAGGCTGGTGTAGCTCAGCAGGTCCTCTGAAGCTGATGCTCTGACAGAGGGCGGGGCCGAGGGGAGAGGGCATATCCTGCCCTCCCTGAGCTGACAGTTTCATGGTAAAGACCTTCACCAGGTGAAGAACTGGGAGATTCTTCTAAGAAGAATTGGTTTGAAAAGAGTCCTAAAAGCACGGGAGTGACATTTGTCTCAAGTAGGGGAAAACGGCTGTGGGGCCACTTGGGAGACTCGTGAGTCCAGGTGGGCAGTGTTGGTGGCTTCCTCTTGAGTGGTGGGATGGTCAGTGGGTAAAAGCGAACAGATTGAAGGCATGTTTAAATGGTAAAAATAAAGGGTGAATGCTGTCTGTGAAGGTAGGATGGAGTAAGGCCCAGTGTTCTGTGTGGATTAATGAGGTAAATGATGGTCCTGCTGTGCTCTGAGGAGGGAAAGCTGCAGAGGGAGTTCTGGGAGAAATCTGATGAGTTCAGCTGTGTGTAAAGTGATAGGCTCTTAGATGTGTGGTCTGGGAGCTCAGGTGAGAGCCAGTAGTGAGTAGGGGGAGGGGAGAGAGACGTTCAAATCATTTTGTCTTGTGAACATACAAGTAAGTATGAGTAATGACAGACTTAACACCTTTATATTCTGGATTTAAAGCCCTGAAACATTTTGCTATATCGACTCCAGAGGTTCTTAACTTTTTTAATAGAAATAAAATAAATAGAAACAAAATAGTGGATTTAATGAACATCTTAGAGTTGATGTGTGTCCTTGTATGAATTGTGATACCTCATCTGTTTATAAACATAATCTTCAAAAAGCTTGTTTAGCATAAAATTTGAACAGAGGGACGTGACACACACTGTTGGGGGTTGAAGCTGATCTCCTTGAGCAAATTATGTCACCTCTCTGTGCCTTAGTTGCATCTTCTGTGACTGCCCCCGGGCCCCTCATCAAAGCTGATTTCCTAGACTAGATTTTGGGAGGGAGGCTGCTGAAGGGAGTAAGAAGTGTCAACTACTAGGGATATTGAAGAGAGAGACAAAAACAGATTAAAGCCGATAAACTGAGTACAAATACCCTCAAAAGAGAAAGAATCCCGCAGTGTTTTGAGCCCCTTAGCGTAAGGGAAACAAAATCAAATTTACCCAAAGCTCTTGAGAATGTGAGTATTGTAGGTGGGATGGTGTCATGAGAAATGGGTTGAGAAAAGGCCTTTTGGTTTCCCTTGATGTTTCCAGTAAGGATGGGGTGCAGAAGCGAAAACCCCCCACTTTACAGTGGAAGGTGCTGTTTTGTGCATATCTGACCAAAGTTTGGAAACAAGTCATCAGCAGTGCTGGCAAATGAAGGGCCTTCTGGATTGGGTGGGGCACGTGCTGTGCCTTCCATGTGACCTGCTGGCTGGGGGCTGCGAGGCGGGCAGTACGTTTGCAGGGTGGCCCGGGCATAATCTCTAGCTCTGAGGCTGCTGGTCTGATTAGCAGACCTGGGCACCCACAGACCTAATGGGGCAGCTAAGGATGTGGTCTGGGACACCTGCCATGCTGAGGGGGAAAAGAGGGCTCCCCTGAGTTGGTGTCCCTGCGGAGAGTGGAAACATCCTCTTGCAGGGAAGGAAGAGCCTCTGAAGAGGGGGCCGAATGCATAGGCAAGACCAGCCTGAGCACGGAGGATTTGGGAAGCCGGAAGTCATACAGTGGCCCGAGCAGCCTTGTTCCTTAGAGACTGGAGGGAACAGATGCTGAAAAAGGCAGGCTAGGGTCACACACTGTGGTGGGGTATGAGTGACAGGAAAGGACTGGTCAGGCAGGCACAAGGGAACCCTGTGGGCGTCTCAGCTGGGGTGTCACACTGGAGGGAGGAGCAGAGTTATAGACTTTGCAACTTATTAGCTGTGTGACTTTGAGCAATATCACCCCACCTCTCTCTATATATATCTTCATCTGTAAAGTGACAGAGTGACAAGCTCGTGTAATCAGATGGCTTAGTTTAGCTCTGATAATCTTTGTCCGGTACTGTCAGTGCTGCCCTGCAAGGTTCTGCAGAGGCTGCTCTTACCTAGGGGTGGGAGGGCATAGAGGGGCATTATAGCACACGAGGGCACGAAGGGGTTGTTTTAAAAGCAGACATGTAGCCTCTTCCAGCTGTAGACCTGCCATCAGTTTGGTTGATGTTCGTGGAGAGGTCTTTGGAGGCCTTAGCATCGTCTTAAGTCTTGTTTTCCCTTGGGGACTGGATTTGCCTTTGCACATTAATATTGAAGATTTGGGCTTCTGGCAAAGCTGTTTTCAGAGATGGGTATATACATAACATATGGTATAAAATAAAATGATTTATTTAACGTGTGGGACTTTGTAGCTGTTGGGGACAGCTCTGTTGGCCTGGTCTCCACGGACGACACTACGGGTCAGCAGAGTGTGCGGGAGGGCAAGAAGCCCACAGTGCTGCTCCGGGGTGTTCTCCCCAGTAGGGCACACTGCTGAATTGACTCTTCTTTGAGTTTGGTTGCCAGATGAGCAGACAGCAAAGTAATGAGTTCTGGTGGGTTTGTATAATGACAGGAAGAAAGAGGAACCCGTAGTTTCTCGGAACTAGAACACGCTTTTGGTTCCTTATCCAGTGTGTTCCATTACAGAATTGATGAATTTTGTCTATTCTGGGATTTGATTGAAATAAACATTCAGCCTAAAAGTTAAGAGTTATGTTTTATTTGGCGGGAAGACTCGAGCCAGGATGACAGCCTCTCAGATCACTCTGAGGGACTGCTTCCAAGAGGTAGGGGAGGAGCTAGGATATATAGGAGCTTTACAACAAAGAACAGGTAGTTGGAAGAATAAATCATTTCTTGTTATCTAAAGAAATCCAGGTACCTCAAGTTCAAGTATTTAGTGCTTTCCTATGTATGGGAGGAAGCAAACATTTTGGTCATTGAATCCATTCCTTTGACAAGCACCTAGCTATCTAGGGCCAGTATCCTATACTTTCTTATTCTGAGTCCTCTCAGAGGGCACCACTGTGAGTGGCTGAGAGGTTGGGCTGAAGGCATGTTCTCGCTGGAGCGTGGCAGCAGCTGCTGATGACTTGGTTTCAGCATTCTTTGTTTACTGACATGGTTGCAGTATTTTCATTCACAGTGTAGTACTTTCATTCACAGTGCTCCCCCTTGGTCCTAAATTCGACCAATATTTTGAGAGACATTTCATGACCTATTCTGTCCCACGGTGCTAGGATGGCTCAATCCTAGTTCAGGTGAAGAATCTTCTGAGCTGCTGTTCAAGGTGTTAGGTTCTTTATCTGTACCTGTTGATACTAAAAGTCCTCTGGATCGCCTGTCTTACTAGTCTATTATGATCCAGGAAATGTTCTCCCTTCGTTGCTCATTCCCATACCTAGAATCACACTATTACAATTATTTTATGCAGGGTTATAAATTTTATCTATTTCTTCAAGATGTTTAGCCATCATCAATCTTGTAATCCTAGTTACACATTGGGAAATGTAACAGAAAACAATTTTATAAAATCGAGACTATATAAGTAAAACAACTAGTAAAGTTAATAAAGTCAAGAGTAAGAATTTAATAGTCGAGAAGTTATATTTTGGGTTAAAATTTTGCTTGTGGTTCTGATTGAGTTTGAGTGATCTTGTGGGAAATTTCATATTTATGGTCAGGTTCAGAGCAGGTATTAATTGGCCAGGTGAGGTCTCCCACCTTGTAAGATCAACAGTGGCCTAAACAGAACTATAATTTCCTTTTCAGATTAACGTTTCTGAGGGCTATCTAGTTAGAGCCTTGGAGTAGGGAAACCCACCAAGGTAACACAGAAGTACTAGACATAGGTAATTTATCATGAATTTAACAATTGGAGTAGTTCATAATTAAAGGTAGGAGAAATTATCAAAGTAATTGGTATACAGGCGTGGTCCGTTGTCTTGGGTCAGCTGTCTACCGCAGATGTCGTCTTCTTCTCATCCTGGCCTGGTAGATTTTCTCCATTTGGGCATTGTTGTAAGATGAGCAGTGCTCTATAGGCCAGTGCACTGCAGGGGATGTTTCTGATAGGAAATAAATCTGAATGTCCGTTTCCTTCGGCTTTGGTGTGTGCGGCCTATTTATGAGTACCTGATAAAGGGTCCTTCCTTTCAGGTGGAGACAGTTCTTTAAGTGATGCCTGTTCCAGTATATATAATCCCCTGGCTGCAGGTCATGTGGCATTGGAACCTTACCCAAGGATAGATTACTGAGCTTCAGAAACAAATCTAGAATATCCTTTTCATAATTCATTTAAGCTTTACAGCAATTTGACATAACAGTAAGGAATGATCTGGGAAATGTCTTAGTAAATATAGACCTCAATTAACAAAACTAGAATTTAATATCCACTAAAATATAATCTTTTTTCTCTATAAAGTTACCCTCATTTTTCT